TAAACACTTTGGTAAGGAAGCTCCTGCTATATAAGCGTCCACTGTTAAACACTTTGGTAAGGAAGCTCCTGCTATATAAGTGTCCACTGTCAAACACTTTTAAAAATATTTTCTCTTACCCATAATTTTGCAGACTTTCCAAAATATGATTTCAACTCCGAATTATAGAGATCCAGCATTATCTGGTCAAATTAGTTTCCCTATTATAACACAAGGAATGTTCAAAAAAAGATAAGTAAATTGACCACTTAGTGCATAATGAACTCAACTATATCTATAACTGCATTATTATAACTCCAAATAATTACGTTAATTTACTTTTTCGTGTATAAGTCACTTTCCGTTGTGTAATCATTCACAATGTATATTAGGTCGTCAAGAAATTAATGTCGCATTTTGGAACACTTTCATTAACCACCCCCAAAATACATACATCACGTATAATGTTTAAACGAACAGCCTAAATGTCACGATAGTGTAGCCTATATAGTGTGTAAAGTTTAGTATACTCTAATCCCTTATACTGAGGGCACACCACGAGACACACATTCGGCATGTAATGCTGTTTGAATACAAGATAAGAAACAACGCCTCTGTAGCCACAAAGAATATCAAAGAAGTTTATGGAAATGTTTTGAACGTTCGTAAGTGTGAACGATGATTCAGTAAATTTCGTTCAGGTGAGTTTAGCCTTAAAAACTGTGATGGCAGGGGCCGACATGTTGAAATTGATATTGATCCTCTGAAGACGCTTGTTGAGTCTAACCCAAGGCAAATGACCCTGAAATTGTATGTCTCTCCAGAAACAATACGTAAATATATAAGGAATATGGGAAAGAGTAATTCATTTCAAACTCCTCAATCCACAGCGAACTGTCAATGCAGAGATCTATAGTCAGTAAGTGGAACGTTTAAATCAAGCCCTTCATCAGAAACGCTCTCACTCGTCAATCGGAAAGGATGTTTTGATACATAACAATGTTTTGTTTTGATATATATATGTTCGGGTTTTTTTTATCTAAAAAAAGGGACATTAATTTCTTGATGACCTAATATATATGCCTACGTTTTTATATTATCATCACTTTGATTGTTAGAAAGACAGGAAGGTTATAACCAAGTAGCAGAGAATCTATTATATACAGTTAGTAGGTGGAGTTAACTTTTCAGAGGTTACATATAACCCTTCATTATTTACAAAACAAATATTATATCTTTACACAAAGGAAAAAGAAAAACTTTAAGACACTGTCTCAATGAACATTAATTTCATCAGCTTTATTTTGGTTTAAAATTCAAACTACGAATCTTTGTAGCTATGTTTCTGTTTTGTTTTTCTTTGAATAACACACAGATTGTAATAAACAAAGCAAAATGCAAAACAAATCTAAATAGTATTATTGTCATTTATGTTTGTTAAACATATACAGACATGTTAGACATGTTTCAGTTTAATGCGAGATTCATGATTGAGATAGTTTATATAACACGTACTTGTATGTGTTCCTCTATTCTGACTCTTCTTCTCCTGCCCACAGTTCTTTCAATATCTGCATTGCATCTCGTACTGTTCTTCCATACAGTACCTCGAAGGGTGAAAATTCTGTACTCGTTTGTTGGACTTCTTGGTAAGGAAATAATACCGCCTACAGGTACCTGTCCAAGTCACATGGTCTATCCTAGCACATATTTTTCAGCATGCTCTTTAAGTCTCCGTTGACTCTCTCACGAAGTCCATTACATCTAAGGTTTTAGGGGGTGGTAAAGAGCTGTCAAGTGCTGATGAGTCTGCGCACCTGTTGCATCAGGTCTGAGCTAAACTGGATCCCTCTGTCACTGAAGACTATTTTTGGAAAGCCTACTCTGCAGAACGGCTCTTCTACGGGAGGCATCTCACCCAGTGTCACCTTGGCTACCTTCCCTCTAGGTACTGTCCTTTGTTAGATATTACGTCACCTGCAGAATCTGGTCACATCTTCGATTATTCCTGGCCAATGGAAGTTGCTATTGATTCTTTCTGCCATATTATTTGCTTCTAGGTGTCTTCCCACAATCGACTTATGAGCCAGCTTCATCTTTGAGTCCAGTATTACGTTGGTACTATGATCTGTTTAACTTCCCTAGTAGAACTGCCTTGACAGATCCGGTACAACGTTCTCTTCCAATCCTCTATTCTATATGTCCTTTTCCCTTTGGTCTTGGGCTCGACTTTCTCCCGGACACTGTCCCAGAGTTTCTACAGTGAATGTTTTTTCTTCTGTGCTTCCTTCAGTTCCCATAAACATACATTCGGGATATCATCTTTCGAGACTTGCAGGGGCTTGATGCATGTTTTGCTTTTCTTTTCTTGAGCTCTTGTGGTGACTACAGCTGCCTCATCAGTCTTCTTTCTTTCTGGTTCCTCCAAACTTCTACTGCCTGGTATATTGCCAATCACCAAGTCATAGATGGATGCCTTCATACATATGACCTCAAGGTCTCCCACGTAGTATGCAGAGTCCACCTTTATTCTTGGTATAGGAAACTTTATCACCGTCCCATCAATCAGAACACACAGATGTACCTTGCCCATCATCTGGTCATCAAATACTAGATCGATTCTCACTGCTGCACCTAGTGTCTCGTAGGACCTTCACTTTCTTGTTCCCGACATAGCCTTCACCTACTGGCATGTTGTGATTTGTTTGCACCTCTTAATATTTGTCACATGCTCCAATCACTATTGGCACTGTTGATCCATTTGCCAACTTAAGTTGACCATCAGTCGTGCATTGTTTAGTCATGGAAATAACACTTCCTTCTTGTGGTGAATCTATTCTGTTTCTTCTTGCAGTAGCATCCATGGAGATAGTCACTCTTTTCTTGTTTCTTGCCAGCAACATCTTTGTAGGTAGCTCCAGCTACCAGATTTCTGTTGTTGCTTGTTGGTGACAGACTTGCACTCCCTCACAATGTGGCCCATTTTATGACAAGCATATCATCTTTTCTCCCTTTTGTCTGTTGACTTCTTGTCACCTGTGGTGACATTCTGTTTCTGTCAGCCATCTCTGGCTTAGACTTTGATTTGCCAATTATACTCCCTCCATGGACTTCATATACTGTTCTGCCAGCTTGATGATCTTGTCTTGGCCTTTTGATGCTCTCTCTCTTTTAGGAACAGTGACATTTCAGTGGAGCACGTGATCATTAATTGTTCACATATTAATAGATCTGCCTGTCCTTCAAACTATCTTAACACTTGGCCATGTCAGTCCATCTTGTGAAGTATCGCCTTAGACGTTTCACAAACTGAAATACAGTTTCTCCAGTGTTAGGTTTGACTACTCTGAACTTCTATATTGTTGAAATTTATCGCCAACATGTCACAGACACCTACTACAAAGAATCCGGCCCATACATAAAACCTGACAATGTTTTAAATCTTTACATTGTTTTTTGATCAATTAATGAAGTATATGAAACAAAATATTTTCAAATAAGATAGTTGTTCTAGTATTCTTCAGTGTCATATATATATAGACGCTAAATGCTTTTCAATATATTATTTAAGTTATTAGAAACTTAGGAACAATCTTACCCATACTTAAAGTTTATTATTTCATAAAATATGACAAGTTTGAATTATGTGTATGTGACGTATCTAAAAACCAACAGTTTTCATTACAAACAACCTTGTATATACTGAGCACACCATCCTTTTATTAAAGTATTTGAAATACGAGTGCTACACTTTATAGGGGGTATTTCGTTATAATAATATATGTAAATACTAAGTTGTGCTAATGATGTTACAAGCTAGTAAAAACGATGATAGTATACAGAATGTTTGTTGAAAATGTGATTTTTTTCTCTTACTTACTTTTAGTAAATTAAGTTCTATATATGTAAAATTTCCTTTTAGAAAAAAATTCAATAAGTTGTGAGAAAAAAAAAACTTTTCATATATTCTTTCTTCATTGTTTTATAATGCTAAGTTTCAATGTTGTTTTTATAGTTAAACAATGATATCACTCATTTATTTAAAGTGCTCAGAGATACGTGTTAAAGAGTTAGAGCCTTCTCTACGCATCTGAGTCAGAATGAAGTTCTAACTTGATATATACATTATCTAAAGTTTAAACTACGTATATTAAAAACTGAGGTGCGGTTTACTTCTTTCACCGACAGGTGTCATCAATTCCCAACAGTAATGTAGGTGAGTGGACATTAGATATTGATACGAAGTTGAAGGCAGCAAGAGATGAAGACGCCCAAACCTTACGATATTCGGTGAAAGATCCTTTGTTCCTGATATTCAACCCTTGGTGTAAACGTGAGTCTGAAGTACAAAATATATCTGTGACTCAGTTACTGTACTGAATGTAAAATAATTCGTCTGGAACCTTGGACTATGAGGTTTATTAGACCGTTCTTGTGACTTTTTCTCGTAATAAAATTATAGCAAATAAAATATCTCTGTAATATTTTATAACCACAGCTAAATTTTCCCCCTAGTGGCACAGTTGTATGTCTGCGGACTTACAACGCTAGAAACCTGGTTTTGATACAGATAGCCCTTTATGTAGCTTTATGCTTAACTTCAAACAAACGAACGGCTAAATTTGGAATATAAAACACTGATATTTTCTCATAAGGCTTAGTATATATTAGCTGTTTTTATTAAAATAACCACAACAGCCAAATTTATGGTCGTAACACTAAATATGGATACAAGTTATACGATTTGTGTTCAGAACGATAATAAGACCCACGCAAGTTGTAAGTTCATAATATTCATTACATATCAAGCCTTGATTTTGTTATATAAAATAAAGACAAATATTAAAGAGATTCGTAGAATCTGATTGACTCACGTGTTAATCTCCACGTTTAACGGTTCTACATACATCTAATTGTCTAGAGGACACAGTATACATGAGTGACCCAGAGTGCAGGAAAGAGTATGTGTTGAACGAGAGTGGTCTTATATGGCGTGGAAGTCATAACCGACTTAGACCATGCATATGGAACTATGGACAGGTACGTGTCAGTAACTGAAACTCTTTAACCTAAGTCAACATTAACGCTATTAAGATTTAGTTCAATTAATTTTAGCATTAAAATGTAAAAGCTAGAACTTTGCACCCTTTTTATTAAACTTGGGAGATGTCATGGGTTTGCCTGTTTAAATATGTTTTATCTAATTATGGTTGATAGAAAATTGACAAAGATGGTAAGTCGTCACTGTTATTTCCATCTACTGTATTGTTACCTTTTATCTTTTTCAATCTTTTAAATTTTAATAGTTCAAAATATGTACATTTAAAAAATACCTTCACAAAATAATATTATACGAAGCAATAAAGTTTATGAAATCAACCAAGTTTTAAAAATTTAATAATTCTAAGTATATCTTAAGCTTTTTCAAAAGAGCTAAGCGTTTAGATATTAAGAAGCAAAGCTATTTTAATTTAAAATACTTAAGCCCTCTTCACAACTGGCTGGATTTTCCATGTATCATATTAGCTAGTCGTTCTTTTCTACGTGAAAATCAGACAGGAAAAAAAAGAAATGTTTAGTATATGGTTGAAATAAGTGAAATCCTGTAATTTTCACCGTGCTTAGTTTAAAACTGAACTTATAAGAGTCTCCATGATTATACCACACGTGTTCATGTGTTTATGATGAAGCCTAGTTTAAAGAATCAGCAAATAGCTACTGAACATTTACTCCCAATTTAGTTAGCTTCATAATTAATGTTTTATTGTAGAATTTTGATTGAAATTTCTACGTTTTTTAAACTCTCATACATAAATTAATAGTAATCAGCTAAGTACTCATAATGTGTAAATCCCTTATCCATTTTACGATAAAAAATGTGTCTTACTTTCAGAAAAGGCTACAAACTGCCATATGAACAAAGATGAAAATGAAGGCCTTCTGCTTTACAACATCACCAGTTGACGTCATTTCAGAATTCTTCCATTTTCACCTCGTTTTCATCATGAATACAATTAAAGAATGCCATAAAGTTTTTAACATACAACATATGTCACAGAATTCTGTCAAGTTTCATAGTTTTCTGAACATAATATTTCTCTTGGCGTTCAATACCTGAAAACTGAACTCCACTAACTTTTAACTTACAGGTAATGTGCTTGCCGCGAGCTAAGCCTGATGTTGTGGTTTAAACAGTGACGCTATCAAAGTGCGACCGTTTTTAAGTAGCTTATAATGACCGACGTTTCTAATAAATTATTCTAAATCTGTAACAAGACCTCACACTTATTTCTGTTTATCATCTTTCAGTTTCAAGAGAACGTCTTGGAGTGTTGCTGTTACGTGTTGAGTCATGTGGGAAGACTCAGTATTGTCGGACGTGCTGATCCTATCCGTGTTGTCCGCCATATTAGTTCTGTGGTAAGTGAACTAATATTGGACGATTTTTAACAGTTAATGTATGATGTTTATTACAACTCCTAATGTGGACAGTCTGCGTCATGTTTAGCTGTGCAAATAATATACTAAAGCATCTTATTCACATATAAACCCATTTAAATTTAACCATGCTTACAATCTAATTATGAAATATTCCAAATCTACTATTTTTCTGATGGTATACAAATTCTTTTGTCAAACAATTCATCTTTGAAAAGCTTTGCGCGCTTGAAAACAGATCTAATGTTATCGTTTTCACCATTTCTTATAAGTACAAATTAAAATAATTTAAGAAACTGTTAGATTCATTCTCCACTGTTTGTACTGAAATAATATCGTATATCAGAAATATATATATATATATTGCATTTTACTTAATCACTGATGATGATAATGAAGAAATGTATTTTGTATAAAGTCCGTTAGGTGTCACCCATGAAACTCTTTGATAATGATTTCAGGTGTTTATATAATATTAATTCATTTTCAGGAAGAAATTATCATAACTTACTTATACGCAAGTGAAAAGTTTCATCTTATCTTTTAGATATCTATAGGGGTCTTGACTTTAGTTAGGTTTGTTTACAATATACAGAACTGAGTCGATGTGACTCTATTCAAAATAGGCTGTAATAATTGATCGAAAAATAATAAATTTTATTTTCTTTGCTATAAATCACAATATAAACCGCGGGTGTAAGAAATGATAATCAGTGATATAAAATAACAAACTAGAGAAGTGTTCTGTAAAAAACAAAATGTGCATCAATATTAATTTTCTCGCGCAGGTCAACTCTCCCGATGATAATGGTATTCTCATGGGCAACTGGTCAGGAGATTACAGTGGCGGTCAGACTCCCACTTCATGGGGTGGTAGTATGGCTATACTACAACAGTTTTTTAAGACGAAAAAACCTGTCAAATTTGGACAGTGTTGGGTCTTCTCTGGTGTTTGTACAACAGGTAATTTTACCCTCAGACATTTTTTCATTATGATAACTATCTTCTCGGGTGTTTGTACATCAGTTAACTATATTCACAGACATTTGTCATCATAATAACTATCTTCTCGGGTGTTTATACAATGGTTAACTTTATCCTCAGACATTTGTCATCATAATAACTATCTTTTCGGGTGTTTGTACAACAGGTAACTATATTCTCAAACATTTTTTCATCATAACAACGATCTTCTCGGGTGTTTGTACAACAGGTAACTTTATCCTCAGACATTTGTCATCATAATAACGATCTTCTCATGTGTTTGGACAACAGTTAACTATATTCACAGACATTTGTCATCATAATAACGATCTTCTCATGTGTTTGGACAACAGTTAACTATATTCACAGACATTTGTCATCATAATAAC